CTCTTTCTTGGAAGGAAAACATAAATGGAAGACAACACATAAAGCATAAAACAGAGCCGGACACACCTGTAACCTTCAGCAAGTTGAACAGCACAACAGACCTGTGAATAAAAAGTGGGTCAACTCTGTTTGGAGAGATAATCCACATAAAATCACAAAGAGCTACAGGGATTCATAGATATAGGTGTGGTAGAAAGTGATAAAATAGGCCTAAGCTTAAATAATGGAAAGACAGAAGTAACGGTAATTTCAAAGAAAAGAACAGTGCGTAAATGTATAATAGAAGTCAAAAGTTGCTCAAAGGTTAGAATGATTGACACCTTTCCATTTTTCCAGTCGATAGTGTTATATTGCGCTATGAGGAGGCATGGGACTCACAGCCCATGGCAATGGCAAAGTGTGACTAGCAAGACCCGCCCGTGTCAAGAAAAGTCTTCCATGATGATAGCATGGGATTGCAGGACCATTGTTGTCAACATTTGTGTTTAATCCGTTTCTTTTCAGACGTTCAGCTGTCATCTTTTCTGCAATATTTTCTTTCTTCACTCTCATTCCATTTCTGATATGTCCTTTCCACACATCACGGTACATAGCATTTTGTTCCTATGTCCACCTCAATACCAATAAATGCAGATTTGCAATTCCATTGGTGAAAGTAATGGTCTCATTATATATCCATCTACCATTTCCCTTGAGTTTTAAACTTCAGCCAGATCCCCTAGTCACTCCTTGCAACACCATTCTCCTCAGACCCTGATGACCTTTTGTTTTTGTGCCTTTGCACTGTTCACTCACTCCTAAAAGACCCTTACATCATCGAGCTTATCATACATCAGTTCACCACCAAGTGATGCAGAACCAGCCAGTCTATCAGCCTGTTAATTTTCCAACACACCAGCACGACCTTGGGAACGTATCCAAAGAAAACTAACTTTCTGGGGTCTCTGAGTGATGTTTGCCACTCTGTATGGAGCATACCTGTCTCCACTTTCTCAAAATGCTCTTTGAGACAGTTACAACTATGACATGTGTGTACATCTTTGTTCTGAAACCAGCAGAAGGCTGCAGTGGCTGCCTCCACCTCCATTCTGCAACTAGAGATTATGGTATAAACGCAAACTGATACATACTGTTGAATATAATACAATGTAGAGAAGCCTGATTACAATCATGTCAACAAAACATTTAGTGATGGCGTTTTAAATAGTTTGTCGTCAGCTGTAAAAATGATTGGGATTAGAATAGTTGGCTGAATTAAAATTCAGTTCCCTGTGTGGATTCTGGAATCCCATTGTGAAGGTGAAGGGGGATAGGCCTACTGCATCCCTAACAAGCATGTCATAAGAATCAGCTGATTAGGGGTGTTTCCTTTGAAACTGTAGTGCATCTGCCTATGGGATGAGGAACCAGCAGTTTGCATACAAAAATGCCAGATCTGTCAAATGGATGTGTATGCACAACTCATATTCTGAACAGGAACTACTAAAACTTTTCGCTGGAGTTTACAGCTGGTGAATGCAAAAAAAGAAGAAGAATTCAGTGTTATAAACCTTTTCAGTGAATTAAACTTAGAGATAGTGAATTAAATATTGTATCTAATGCTAACTTTGAGTTTATAATTTAGGCAAATGTACAGCAGAAGCTTCAAGGACTCTGTGCACAGAATACACAGTAAAATGGAGGTTTGATAAAGAAAAACAAGAATGTGTTCGTCTGTGGTGGGGCGGCTGTGCAGACAATGGGAATATCTTTGAATCACAAGCCAACTGTGAGGATGTCTGCATGAACACCTTGGTCATCACAAATCCTGACAGTGTGGACAGAGGTAATGCTGTTTATTGTTTTCATGGTTAATGATTAATGAGGACTTTCATCCCATCATTACGGACATATCCTTAGGTGCTCTGATCTCCTCTTCAGTAGTTCCACAAGTGTAAAATGATTCATCATCCCAGTTTTGAAGTATCTAATCAAATATCTTGTGCAATTAGAGTAATGCTCGTGTCTGTTTCTCCAGTTCATTTAATAAAACATAGGAACTAACTGTGTGCATACCACTCTTATATAAAAAAAAAAAAAAACATACTGACAGGGAAAATTTAAAAGTAAGTGATCAAGAGGTAGACAGTGATACAATAAGGTAATTGCAGGTAATACTTCATAACATATGGGTCACCCCATGGTTGCTCCATTCCTGTCCCAGTGAAAACTACACAGCATGTCTGTCACTGTCCTCTGTGAAAAAGTAATGGACACAGAGTGCAATCTTAGCAAATCCAACAGCATTGACTAACATTAAATGCAAAAGGCAGCAATTAGAAGTGCCACAAACAGTCCAACACTAGAAATGCAATGAGACAGTAGTTAGAAAAGATCAGTAATTACCTATGCAATTAATCACATTAGGCACCACAGATTATTTGGCAACAGGCCTTACACCATTTTCCAAATCTTACAGTTACAAAACAAACGTTGGGCTAAGTGATCTGTTTCTTTTTGGTTTTTGGTAGCCAAAATACTTGTGAATGTGTGTTTATGATTGGGCATGTATGCACTGGTGCTATATATGAGTTAGAGAAAACAATCAGTGTTTCATATGGGTACTATCAGTGTTTGTTAATTTTGGGATGTAAGAATATAGCTATGTGTGTGTTTCAAAATAATTTTTCCAGTCAAAATTTTCAAAATGCACATCTAAGCCCTCCTATAATGACTACAGGTTAGTCATAACCATTGTGTACTTTAATATAATAGTGTTATATTGCTGAACAGTCTTTAATTTTCTCTTGTTGAATTTTCATTGCAATTGTGGCTCTTTGAGTCAATAGATGTTAATCTTTCACCATGCAGTCCTATAGAAAGTAAAATAATTTTCAGTTTCAATTGAGTACTGCATATTATATTTGTAACCATAGGATTCCCTAATATAACTTGTTACTGTACAGTTGATACTCACCTGCAGATCGGAATGTAATGGGGTTTGGGTCCTTCCAGGGGCCAGACTTTTTTTTTTTATGACCTTGGATCCCAGGTCGACCCAGGCTTGATTGGTTACCAGGTACAGTCCTGGAAAGGTAAGTAAAGGCAGCTGGCGTGATGTTGACCACATCAGCAACCAAGTGTCGTTTGGGCTATAAAATATAGGTAGGTCTTGCCCTATAAACACAATATGCCTGAAGGTGTGGAGATGGATCCTTTACTTTTTACTGTACAGTAAAACTTGGTTTCTGGTATTTGTTACTGTTAGATTTTCTTCAAATAAAGGTGACTCCTTGAGTAACTAGGTGTCAGTCTTTAGGATGTATTCCTGGAGGGGTGGGTGGGTGGAGGGGTGTGGTGAGAAACAATAGTTATTTTCATCAACTAGTCTTTAACACAAGAGTAGAGTATTTAGTGCAACCATTATCGGTTTCTCAGTTACAACTTCTGAGGAGGTAGCGGCGAAGGTTATGGAATCGCAGTTCCAACAGCATGACACATGGGTCACTCCAAAGTTGCTCTGTTCCTGTGCCACTGAAAACCACACAGAACGCCCATCACTGAGCCTTGTACAACAGTTGACACAGACTCCAGTCCCAGCTAAGCCAACAGAACACACACATTAAATGCCTGTCAACCATCATAATTGCCAAAACCTACATGTCAGCACTAGAAATGCAGTTCATAGTCAGAAGAAGCTGCAGTTACAATAGATCAGTAGTTGCACAGGCCATTAATCACATAAGGCAAAACCAGATCCCTAGCAACACTCTAGTTGCCATTTTGTGAATCAGCACTATGAGTGCAGCTAAGAAGCATTCCAAATAAAATACCCAGCTCACAGTGTCACGTCATGCAATCAACTCAGTAACTGGGTGACGGAACTATATCCACTTTCTCTACATATAAGGAAAAATGCAATAGCCAACTGTTGACAGAAGAAGAAAAAGGAAAGGGGAAAAAAAACTTGCAATGACTATAATCAGTAATCCACCATACTGACTAGAAGTCTTAGGGAGTTGAAGAGGGTATCAGTGATTTACCCCGTCTGAATGTCATCCAGGTTGTGATTCTTTGAGTTTCAGGGCTGGTCAAATCTTTAGGTAGCAGCTCAGAGATAACAGTCAAAATTATCTTCATTGGTTTATAATAACTCATTATCTTTTGTAATCTGTCAAAATTTTTTTGCAGATTTTGTCAACATTTGTGACATGCCAGCTGACACTGGTCCCTGCAGAGGAAGTATTCTGCGATATTATTACGACTCAAGAGACAGAACGTGTCACAAGTTTTACTACGGAGGATGCCAAGGAAATGAGAACAATTTTGTGGAAATTGAAGACTGCCAAAAGGAATGTATGCAAGGTGTTGAAACATCACATTCCAGCACAACTACTGCCATACATAAACAAGAAACTTCAACATTGCCAACAGGTAAAAGGAAGCAGAAATTGCATTCATAGTTACCCCTAAAAATGTATACACAGTAATTGCCCTGCAATGAAATGCATACACATTTTCATAGAGGCTACTTGTACGCGACATATTCTACAATAATTAGGTCAAATTACTGTAGCTATCTGTTGTATTCTGGTTAAAAAAATATCCGCATTTCAAATCACACTGTATGATTTTCTATTTGACTCTTCTTTGTCCAGGTTTCTGCACCAAACAGCAGAGTTGAGTATGTGTAACATTTGATGATTTTCATTTTTAATTTGTAGAAGAGGTAACAATGCAGCAACCTCCATTGGGCAGGTGGCCTAATTCATTTTTACTGCATCCTCGTTACACAGAAATAATACCCCAAGCAACTCATGCCATCTAATTTTTTTTTTCTCAACATGTCTTGTGTGATCTTGATAAGTTCAATGTTGTCTGTCCACGCTGTAAACCTGTCCAGATTTTTACCATCTTTTGACTTCTGTCTCTATTACTATCCTCTGGTTGTCTGCAAATTTTCTCTGGTTATCTGAACATTTTCTAGGCACTCTCATCCCAAATCATCACCAACAAATGATAATTATTTTGTCCTGATGTGGTTAGGGAAATATCTTTTCTGTACTTTGGGAAGGGGAGGGAAAGAGTTGGGTTTTTTGCGGGGCGGGGGGAGGGGGGGAAGGGGTGGCCAGGAGTTATTCAGTATAACTAAAGGGATAATTTACTTGTTTCTAGACATAATGGTATACAATGCTAATTCCATTTTTTTTTTTTACCAGTGAGCACACAATATGTGATGTTTTTATTATAACAACTGCTGATTTTACTTTCATCACAACTTTCTGGTACCCATTTAGTCTGGTAGCACATGTCAGTTAAAAATTAAAATCTAAGTTTACAGGGATTTGAGAAAGTGGCCTGTCACTGGAAATGGAAAGGAGGAGTCATGTTTTCGAATGTAAATGCTACAGACGCATTTTATGAATTAGTTATTTAGAACACAAAACCAACAAATATGTCAGAGACAAAATATACAATTTTGCAAGATATCAGTAGCCTCTCTTGGCCATGGTGAAACATTTCAAGCTAGCTTAGTTGACACGCGTGGTGAGACATAATTTGATTGCAAAGACTGTACTTCAAGTAACATTAGGGGGGGGGGGGGGGGGGGGGGGGGGGGGGGGGGGGGGGGGGGGGGGGTAATTAAAGAAGAGAAAGGCAAGCAATAACATGGAGTGACAAAATCAAGAAAGGGACAGGACTGAGTTATCTTACACGTCTTCATTAAGTGGAGACAGGTTTTATGTGTTAGTGCTTCCATCAATACACCTCCATGACCCTAAACAGGTCAAGTGTTTTATTATGTTATTCTGCCACAAATGCCTGCTGGGAATGGGAGAGAATGGACTTGCTGCTCCTTGACAAGAATGTCGAACAGGTGACTAATCAAGGATTTTACTGAAATTGGATTTTTGGCCTGAAAGTCCTGATATCCTAGCCTAGCTGTAATCTACAGAACAGTATGTCAACTGCCTTTTTAATGGACAAACACACAAGAGAATTAAGTAGAAGAATCTTTAAAGTGAGACTAATTCATAAAGGTATTTTCTTTCTTTTCCAGTGGCATCTGAGAATGCAGAGCTAAAAGATCCTGCAGGTACAGTGTAGTAGAGTGGATGGGAATGAGAGAAAGAGGGAAAAGAGAGATATATATATATATATATATATATATATATATATAGATTATATATATATATATATATATATATATATATATATATATATATATATATATATATATATATATATATATATATATATATATATATATATATATATATATATATATATATATATAGAGAGAGAGAGAGAGAGATGGGGGGGGGGGCAGTAATAATCAACAAGGAAAGGGAGAGAGAGCACATGGGCACTCATTTTATTCAATGACAAGTAGGAAGGAAATTTGATGAATGGAAAATGATGGTCAGAGATAGTTAGTTAGTTAGTTAGTAGGGTTATCATCATTGGACTCCGGACATGTCCATAGGTGCTCAGATCCTCCACTCAGTATGAACCCCAACGTCCGATGGCTAATAGTACCAGTTTTATGTTAATTAACAAGTCTTCTGACGTGTCTGGTGTACGTCTCGTTTTTTGCTGTGCCGATCTTAATTCCCAAGTCTGCCATTCTGGCGAGTGATGTGCATTCACTGCCACCAAAGTCCTCTATCCTTCCAATTTCTCTGAGGGCATTGATAATATCAGCATGATCCATAGGCTGACCGTCGGTAGTGATAGCGGATCCAGCCAACCTGTCAGCTCTTTCATTTCCATCGACGCCTGCGTGTCCCGGAACAAAAATAAAAGTGACTCCACGCACATTGGACTTCTGTAATGATTCAAGCCATTGTCTTCGCACTGAACCTGCTTGAACCCTCCGGATCATACTCATTGAATCACTGAGTATACATACGCGGGTGTATTTTTGTGTTTCAAGCCAGGCAAGCGCTTACGTCACTGCCATCACCTCCATGGCCATGCTGCTCCATGGTCAATTCTGTAACAGTAACATCTGATTGTATGTCTCTCTCACACCTTCCGTGAGTGTTAATCATGGGCTGAATCTCCCTGTCACTCATTGCCGCACCATCCGCTTCAGATCATGATGTTATAATTATGCCTCTGTACTGTTTACTCAATCTTAAAGGTCCTTACCAACATCTAGCTTGTCATGCATCAATTCTTCACCAAGTTGTGCAGAACCAGCAAATCTATCTGCTTGTTCATTTCCCAAGACACCAGCATTACCTGCAGAAAAAAAGCCGTAGGGTGCAAACAACCTGAAGTGATGCTTGCAAATCTGTACGGAGCATACCTGTCTCTTTTTTTCTCCTCAGCTAGCCCTGTGAGTCAATTACAGTCAATATTTATGTGCAGCTAGTTCTCAAACCATAACAAGATGCCACATGATAGTGAAACCACCCCAAGGTGTCACATGACAGTGAAACTGCCGTGATCTGTCACATGATAGTGAAATAATTGCTTTCTCTTGCAGCTGTTTGTTTAATGCCAGCTGCTCCTGGACCATGTTCTGCTGGTATAAAACGATGGTTCTATGATCACCAGTCAGGAACTTGCTCACAGTTTCAGTATGGTGGCTGTGAGGGAAATAGAAACAATTTTGAAACTTTGGAAGAATGCAATGATTTCTGTAATGATAAAGGTAATATTATTACATTTCATTTTTTGTTTTAATTTTTGTTATAAAAACAGTCTGAACTGTAGTTTTTTACTTTGAAATAAAGTTTGAAAGTAAAACTAATAAAAATGGCAAATACAGACTGAAAGTGTTATGGCTTCACAATATAATAAAGTTGCTGTTTAATGAGATGAAGTGTTTTTGTATGATCACTGCCTATCCTCTTCACTGCCTTTCCTTACCAAATGTGACAACTGAGAATAGACTTATAACTAAGATGACCATATGTATAAAGTAGATGTAGAATTGCTTTAACATAAATCTTCCCATGTGTCTGAAACTTAATGAAACCATCCCTATTTATAATTAGTAGTGCCATGGTGTCCCAGCTAAATACAGTGTGCAAGACCCTGACAGTAAAGGTCAATATGTGCAGATCACTAGTATTGTCAGTTTTCTTGCATGTATTTGAGAGTTGGACTCTCACTAAGGAAACAGAGGAGGATTGAGGCTTTCAAATATTAATGCTATAGACAAATTTTACATATTACTTATTTAGAATGTAAAGCAAACAAATGTGTTAGAAACAAAATAAACAAATTCACTGGACATTGTCATGAAAGTTTGGAGAGAACAAAAATATAGGGGTTATGCCTGGGAAGAGAAGAAGAGGAAGGCCAAAGAGATTATGGCTCCAGGATTTGGCAGATGATCTACAGATGGGTGCATTGAATGCAGGACATCTTGCTGGTGATCAAGAAGTTTTCTAGAGAGTTGTTATGGGAGCAAGATTTTGCAAACGACATGCTACTGACTGACTGATTGACAGGACTTCAGGAGCCTCTCTTGGCAATTGTTAAACGTCTCAAGCTAGCTTGGTTTGGGCATGTGGTGAGACATGAGTTGATTACAAAGACTGTTCATCAAAGAACACTAGGGGGCAGTTGAAAAATAGGAGGGCAAAGAAGAATCTGGAATGACAACATCAAGACATAGACAGGACTAAGTTATCATACACTTATTCATCAAACAGAAGTCTGAGAAAGATGGCTGGTTTGTGTGTTAGTGCTTTCACTGATACATCTCTGCAACCCTAATGGGTCAAGAACTATGTTTATATATAATTATTAGTTATGTCATACAAAGCTCCAATAAATAAGTAACTAAAGTTTACTTTTTATTTTCAGAAGTATGTCTCCAGTCAAGAGAAATTGGTCCATGCCGTGCAGCATTTCCCCGATTTTTCTTTGACACTCAAACTAGGTCTTGCCTGAACTTTACATATGGTGGATGCCAGGGTAATTTAAACAACTTTGCAACAAAGGAAGCGTGTGACAAGAAATGTTATCATCACAAACATACTGGCAGTGAGACTGATGTATTGATAACTGGGACAGATAGTGAAGTGAATGTTTGCCAGTTAAAGCCAGAAAAGGTTTGTGATATTTGTTGGTTAAGATATTGTATAATCATTTCTTTCAGTCGTTTGTGCTTTTTTACATTGTTATTATATCAGATATTATCCTGTTCCTTCCTGGGTTATGATTCGGAGCAATATGTTATCTGTCAACAACTTTCTGACCAATATAAAAGATATGTAACTTGCAAATGGGACTATTTAGATGTTAATTTTTGTCTGTAATGGATTTTTATGTAATGGATTTTTACTTAATTGTATACAAGAAACATGATTCTTAAGCATTCAGTTAATAGTTTGTGTACCATCATACATTACTTAACCTGTCTACCAGGTGTCCAGTAAGTTTCCATACATAGTAACAATAAACATATCCCTACAGTCATTACAAGCATAACTCCAGCTGTGCTTATACATGTTCTTCAGCAGTGGAGTTATGAATAAGCACAGATGGAGTTTTTTGGGACACTAAGTAGAGTGACTGCATTGGTACAATACACACGCTTGCTGACATTGTCTGAATTTGTTCATCAAATGTTCTAACAAGTATGTGACTCCCACAGGGAAACTGTAGAGGATATAACATCATGTGGTACTACAGTGCTGACAGGAACTTGTGTTCACGCTTTGTGTACACAGGCTGTGGTGGAAATGGCAACCAGTTTAACAGTGAACAGGAATGCAATGATGAATGTCTGATGACAGAAGAAACAGATGACAGTGACAATTTGAAACAAACCTCTCCACTTGTAGAGACCACAGCATCAACTAGTCCATATCCATCAAGTCACAGTTGTAAGTTATTTGTCATATTTCTAATACTTCTGCTCTTGTCTATTCTTCTTCTTCTTTTTTATGTTCATTGTCTGTCAACTCAGCAGAAAATTCTGAGTTTTTGTTCACTTCTGGACTTTAGTCTTGTTCCAGAACTTGAATTTTGCATGCACAACTGTTTCACAGATCTAACTTATGTGTATGCAGACTGCTGGTTTCTGGCTTATCTGGCAGATGAATTTCAATCTCTAGTTGGAATTATTAGTACATGCCCAGGAGTCTGCCTGCATTTATTACAAGTGGCAGATTAGTTTACACGTGTAAACACTAAGATTACCATGTCCTGTCTGAATCCTGAGTTTTTTTTTTTTTTTTTCCTGGTAAGATTCCTGATGCCATCACTCTTTGATCTGTAGTTTCCATTCAGCATTCTCTACTCCCTTCTTGTTAACCTGCCTCATGATTGTCATGGTTTCCCTTTATCTCTGTCATGAATGAGGCTGTGGAAGATAATTTCAAACTCATGACAGCTTATCTGCTCTCTTATGCTCCAGAATATCACAGTGAGCTGGTATCCACTGCAGGACCAGTTCTGCTTCTCTGGAGAGCAAGCTTTTGCTGGTCTTCAGATCGTATACAATTGTTTGTCTTGTTTTCTGCTTGATTGTGCTTGGAGAACAAACCGTGAGTCACTGAGTGTTACAATTTTGTACACTCTGTATTCTATTAAAGTGTTTGGTTTTCATTTTATGGTAGTGAGTATGCGTGTATGTGTATTTATGAGTGTTTAAAAAAAAAATGAATTAGTATGTGTCTTTATATGTGTGTGTGAGGGTAGGTTTGTATGTATGAATGTGCGTCTGTATAAGCATATATGTGTGTGTATACATTCATGTATCTGTATTTGAATGTATAAATGTGTCTCCCATGCCTTTGTGGTTTTACCTTACACTCATGGTATGTGTTTTGTTTCCATGGACATAGCCTGCTTTATTGGTACAAATACACTGGTAGTGTGTTTTGAAAGGGCCAGATGTGTGACAGGCATGTATGCCTTTCAGGGTCCCATGTGGCTAGGGATGATTGCATATGATGATGATGATAAATAGTTAGCTTGTGACTGAACAAAGATGATGGAGCAATGGGTTTTCCCAAGAGGTTTTTGCAAATTGTGTGGTGCAAGAGTTGATCAGAGAGTTGGAGGGAGACGGACTTGGGGACTGGACGTTGTTGTTTTGACCGCTAGCTGTTTTTATATTTTGACTGATTTTAGCGACAGGTAGCTTCTTGTTAGGGTGTTAGCATGACGGTAGAATGTTTTAGGTGTTTGTCTGTGTTAGCAAGAGGTAGGTTATTATTGGTTTTTATAATAGTATTCATTTATGTATTTAGTTAGACGTTAGCGAGGCGGTCCTTGAAGGGTTGATCAGGTTACGTGACATGGTCTGTCCACTCACTCTGGCCTAAGATGTGCAGTAGCACCACGGTCCAAGTGTAAGGCGCAGTAGCATCGGAAAGAGCTTTAAGGAAGTCTGTTAAGCCGGACCCATGTCACAGCCGTAAGGCCGGTAAGGTATTGTAGGGGCAGGTGGGTGACTGGGTTGGTAATGGGAACCACTTTTTTCCAAGTGAACTGCCACATTGTTTATTGTGGACTGCATTAAAGTTGTTGTGTATGCTCTCACTGTGTTGTTCGACTGTGTTTAGGAATAGACCTTTTTCTGTCATGGATCTGCCAACGAGCTTTCCTGCCCTGACGGCAGTGAAGTAGGTCTCTGACAGTGCCCAATTTGTGACTTTTAAAAATAAAGTTTGGTTATTCTTTCTCTTTTGTGTGGTGAAGATGTAAAGATTGTCTGTATCATCTTCCCAATGCATTATACAGGTTGATCCAGCGAACTGAAATATTTCTTGTGTCTGCTTTCAGTGTCAACAGTCAGTTCACATAGAGGGGCAAGGGGAGATCACCAACTGGTTCTTGTGAAGCTGGGAGCTAGTGCTGAACTGACGTGTACATTGAGGAATTATGGAGTACTTTGGGATCATAATGGGTAAGAGTCAGCTCCCTTATTTTTGCTCTTTACGTGATGGTCTCAAGTTATGTATAATTCTTATAGTCATCATCATCATCACCATAATCATCAGCATCACCAGCACCACCACCAATACCACCATTATCATTATCAAATGCCTTGCTGACATATTGGTGATTATGCTTCTCTACATTCTCTGATTTTCAACAGCATGTTCATTAATGTCGGTGTCTGAATAAAAAAAATTTCTAGGCATGATTTCCTATGGGAAAAATACAGTAGTGAATCAATTTGGCTTCCACCAGTTTGTGTATGGTTTTTTTTCCCAACAGCCTTTGACCACCCCCTACCCCCCCCCCCCCCACCCCCTTCCCAAATTGACTACTCTTTCCATCATCGAAGTAGTTCGGAACAAAAAATGAAGTAAAAGCAACAAAAACAGGAAAAATGCACCATAATTACTAAATGAAATCTATGGTAAACGACACAGCTTAATTCCAACGCAATGTCAGATGAAATATTTAAATCAAAATGAAAATAAACGGAAAAATTGAAAGGAAATTCTAGTATATGAAATGGGCAAATTTAGTGATCAACTGGTTCACCTGCAAACCTGTAGTCTTTCAAAAATGTGTAGTCGTGTGATCACTACGTCATGAGTAATGGCAAAGCACTGTGTCATTCGCATACCCTGGACAGATAAAAAATTTAATGTCTCAAAGAAATTGTCTCTCAGGGAAAACTGATTGCCCACAACAGAAGAGGACAATCTACAGTCTTTGGTCATATCATGGCAAGGAGAAAACTGGAGCACTTCTGGAGGTGAAGAGGCAGAGGGAAATCAAGAGAGAAGATGCTGGATAATTGTAATATGTATTTAGCTAATTTATTTTATAGGAAGCCACCATGATGTAGTGACTAGACGCTTGTAGATGGATCAAAAGTTCCTTGATTCAAATCTTGAAAGTACTGCACTTTTTTCATTTAAAAATGACATTGGTTCACAAGTCAACCCAGCCTTAAATGGGTACCAGGTAAAGTCAAGGGGAGTAAAAACGGTCAGCATGATGCAGACCACATCACCCAAGAAGTGCTGACTGGTCTATTAAAAAAAAAAATGTAGGACTAGCCCTATTTGCCCTGGATGACTGGATATGAAAAAAAGGATCCTTTACTTTTTTTATTATGTGTCTCTACATTACTTGAAATTTACAGACTAATTATATTAAATTGCTAGATTTCGCCTGGCATCAAATTCACATTTGGAAGTGTACAACAATGGAACTCTGGTTCTTCTTGGTGTCACAGAAGACATGTCCGGAACCTACTCTTGTAGAATTTATGATGGACATAGTACACCTCATTCTGAGAAGTTCAGGGTTGAAGTTTACGGTATGTTATCAGAATTGGTGTTTTCTTTTATTCACTTCCTATTTTACTGCTCGGGGTATGGTAAAGAGTAAAGTAAAGATCCCTTTTGTGCCTTTAGACGCATCGGGCATATGGGAAGAGCACCCATATTTTTTTAGACCAATCGGCACTAAGTGGATAATGTGGTCAGCATTACGCCGGCCGTCTTTACTCTCCCAGGACATAACTCATGGTACCTATTTTAGGCTGGGTCCACCTGCCCCATACCATGATAAAAATCCACGCAGCTAGCAGCAGGTTTTGATTGTGATACGTTGGAATTATGAGTCGGACCTGCAACGCCTAAGCCACAGACGCTGCTGCTCAGGGTAAGGAGGGAGACATAAGGTTCTGCTTATTGCTCTTCTGGTCGCCTCAAGCATAGATGCATTGTGCTGCTGTAGAATGTCTTTAATGTTTTCTTTCCATCTTATTTTTGTCTACCTCACTCTAGGTCGTTCTACTCTTTTAACTTATGCCTTATATAGTAGGGTGTCACAAGGAAGTCTTTTTAACAGGGCAAACCATTTAATCTGCCATCTTTATATGTAAATTTTTACTTTTTCTTCTATGACCTTATACTTGACTTTATCTCTTCTGGTGACTTATGCAGTTCTTCTCAGAAAGCAGCTGATCCTGGTTTGCACAAGAGACACCCCGATTGTGTGCATGCGATACAACCTTCATTGCTGACAATTGCAGATAGGTTAAAGGTGCTGCAGACTAAGTTGTACCTCAGAGTAGCTGCAGACAGGGAACACCCTCCGAATGAAGCTTTGGCTGCAGGCAAGGGTCAGAGGCTAAAAAAAAGGGGAAAATCGTGGATGGCTAAAGCAGAAGACACAACAAGACAAGTATGCATGCTGTAGAACATTGGGCAAGAAGAAGAGTCAGTCAGAGTACCAGAGGAGAAGTCTGACCTGTGTAGGGTTATGATCACATTGGACTGGGTGTGTAGAGAGTGGCCAGCAGAGGCTACTGAGGTTGAAGTCCAACAGTTGATTCACGAAAATGTATGCCCAGGTAATCTGATTATCTATACAGATGGTTCAGTGTTGAGAGGAAAGAGAAGTGCCTGGGGGTTCGTAGCGAAAGCCAATGGAAAATCTTTAGTGCAAGACAGCCTAGCATATGACACCACAACATCTAGCATGAGAATGGAGGTGAAGGCAGTAACTGCAGCTTGGGAATGCCCTGAGTGCTGTGATGTCAATTCTTGACTCAACTCAACTCTCAGAAAGCTCATGCCCATGATTACTAGTTTTTTTTAATATCTGGCACTGGTAGCATCCGGTAGTAATATAAGATGTTTCTTTGTGCTGATTGTCTTTCCAGTGAGATTGCATTCCACATCTCTGTCCATTTTTCTGTAATTTTTTTTTTTTTAATTATTGATTTAAAATTTACTACTTTAACAAGTGCTAACCTTTCTGCCTAAACATGTAAGAAAAGTCAAAGGCATTATTTTAGGACAAATACAGAAATTTAATTATCTAGACACTAGGATAACATCCAGTGGAAGATGTATCACAGAGATAAAGAACACAATAGGATAGGCCAAAACTGTCTTTTATAAAATGAAGAACATTTTGTGCAATAAGTCCATGTCATTGGAGGTTAAGAAAAGAATTCTTGCATGCTATATAGAGCCAAGTCTTAACATACGGTTGTAAATCCAAGATAATTAATAGACAAGCCGAACACTATCTTCAGAAATGTGGTTTTACAGAAGAATCCTTAGAATTCCTTGGACAGCTAAGAAGAGCAACCCAGATGTTTTGAAACAGGTGTGTGCTAGAAGACAACTTATCACAAACATCAGAAAGAGACAGTCATCATTTTTCTAACATGTTGTGAGAAGAGGGAAGCTGGAACATGTGACGACTGGAAAGATCTGTGGATATAGAGACTGAGGAAGACAGCATGAGAAGATTCTTGGCAGCCTTTTGTCATGGCATGGAAGGGTGTCAGCACACGAATTGACTCATGCATTTGTGGATCATGGATTGTGTGACTGTTAAAATTAATATAGCCATATTTTTTCACTATAAATATCTTTTGCAGTTACCTTCACCATTCTTATAAATACATATTTCTGCAGTGATTGTTAACTGTCTTTTAAACCACATACTTTTATAATTAATGCTAATATTCTAATAATCACATCTTTCCACAATATATGTAATTTTTTTTTTAAAGACGTCTTTCACAATGAATGTTACTTTTTCACAAAATGATGTTAACATTCTTATCTTTTCACAATGAGGTGTTGAAACTGTTCACAGTCCCACCCAAGATTCTCCATGGGCCAGTTCTGATCAGTGTCAAACCAGGACACAATGCAGTTGTTCATTGCCAAGTTGAAGGCAGCCCTCAGCCTGTAGTCTCTTGGAGAAGGCAGGGACATGTACTGCAGACCAACAGCCATTACAGTGTCTTTGCAAACGGAACACTGGTTATACATGATGTTCTTACACATGATGCTGGTGACTATGAGTGTTCTGCAGACAATGGCATTACTACAGTGCAGAAACACATAAATGTTTACATCAAAGGTTAGTCTGAATCACTCTTTCAGGTTGTAAATTTTGTAAATTTGTTTTCTGCAGGTTTTATGTCTCTATTTTAGTTTTGATGTGTTGTTACCAGTTAAAAGTTTAATGCCAAGTATAACATGAACCCGGCAGCATCTGTGGCCTAGCAATGTGAACACGCTTAGTAATGTTAGAGTGCTGGGTTTGATCCCAGCTGTGGATGATTTGTCTTACGTTGATTTCAGTATTGGTGTGAGAGCTGAACGTTCAGTAAACAATGGCAAACTACTGAGCATAAAATTTGCCTAGAAGAACTACAGCAGCCCAAAAAATGCTGAGGCTAGTTCTGCATCACATGAGGCCAATTGTGAAATACCTGGCTAACCCAGTAGGGACAAAACAAATTATAAATGAACATGAACAGGCAGACAGACTGGTTGGATTTGCACCACTGGGTGGTGAATTGATACATGCCAAGGCAGATGTGGTCAATGCCCTTTGGGAAGAAGCAACAGATTCAGTAGAGAAAGAAGATTATTATGGCCTGGAGAGAATGAGGCACCTGGGTGTAACCAGAGGGTCTGACCGACTCACTACACTCAGAGGAAAGGCAAGACGGACATATAAACAGATTGTGACCTCTACATCAGTATTGGAACTTGTGCTGGCTGCTGAAGATAAGGATGGAGCATGCATGGGAATGCGCTGAGTACTGAAATTTCAACATTGTGCTATCAGTCAGAATTGGACATTGACTAGAGATCATAAAAGAAAATTAACTTGCTTTGAAATGAGAATGTTTGAGAAAGGTCATGAACACAACTAGAAGAGATTGTGTAAGAAACAAAGAAATTACAAGAACTTTGGAACAACACCTATTGATTAATTTATTGAAAAACAAAGACTGAAATGGTTTAGCTATTTAATAAGAATGAATCCAAAGATGCCAGCAAGGACGTCATGTAGTATGAAAGTAGAAAACACCAAGAGGTAGGGGAAGGACCAAGAAAAATATAAATTAAAGGAGTCACTGTTACTTTGAGACTCGACAACATTACAGCCTACAAGGCAACTAAACACGCCCTGGCTCAGATACTGATCATCCGTTAACCTGCGATGTCTAGTGGCACAAAGCAGGATACAGACAAAAGAACAAAAGAAAGAAACATCAGTTATTGTCAGGTTTATTGCTTAATTAAAAACATGTTGCTGTTTCCACAAGTGAGATTGGCTGCAATCTATACACTTGTGGCTATTGGAAAATTTCATGGTGAGACCCCAGTATCTCCCACTTTGTTACTCTCGTACCAAAGAATGAAAGCTACAAGAACAGTCTTTTTCCCTACACCAACCACTGTTGGAATTGCAGCCGAGTAATGTTGAGGACTTTCTTGTGAGACTGTTTGATTGCTCAATGCATGTCCTCTATTTCTCAAAGAGGATCTGCCAAACAATACTTAGTTGTGTAAAGTAGCCAACATTTAAATGGCAAACTTTATGAAAGCTAACCTTGGTCAGATAACTTCCTTGATCTTCCTTATCAAGTTCTTGTTTGTTGACCTAACATATTGATAGGTTTTTACAACAAATGTTGGACTAATCAAAGATGTAAACCAGTGGGGATGGAGTTCATAGTTCATGTTAGAGATCATCTTCATCCCACATCAGGCATGACCATAAATGCTCTGATCTCCTCCTGAGTTTGTCTCTAAGTGTTTTGAGGCTAACAACTCCCATTCTGTTCTGGTTGATGTAATGACGGGTGGCTCCTGCATGGTTTTCCTGTCTCGTGGCTCCAACATGGTATGCAGTCTATTGAGTGAAAAATCATTTTCCACAAAACTGAAAGCCTCACAGTGTTTAGTTCCTCGTATGACATTGATGATGTCTCTCCTGTCCATAGAGGACCCATTCCTGATAGTTGCACAGCCAACCAGAACGTCTGCTCTCTCATTGCCTTTCACACCAGCATAGCCTGGGACAAAAATGAAGGTGATTTTTGCAAACTATTATGTGCTGAATTAGTTGAGGGCACTCAATGTTTATGTATGCACTCCCGCCTTGATCTTCTTAAGCATGCTCATTGAGTCACTGAGCAAGCATGCATTGGTGAACTTCTGAGTTTTCAGCTATTCTAGGGCCTTTGTCACAGCCATGACCTCCATTGCCATGCTGCTGGTGGTAGAAGCAAAGGCTTCACTGTCTTTTTTAATGACTTTCTCTTTGATTCTTGCCATAAATGCCCATGCACTTCACTTCTCTTGAATCACAGAACCATCTGTATATATATAACAGCATCTTCCTGTGCTGTGTCTTTTTCCACCAATCTTTCACTTCTGAATCAACTACTGATGGTGACAAATCACGGCAATGTCTTGTCAGGGTGATAGCCACCACAAAGTACCATTTGTATTCACGTGGTATGGGTATCCCTTCCTCTCCACGGTTTATGTGATTTATTTAAATAACCCATTGAAGCACTGTCTCTGCACGGCCCAACCAAGACTGGCCTTGTTAAGTCTGTTACCTTTACGCATATTTATTTCATCAGGCAGTGGGTGTGTAAAGTCCTCAGTGATTTTTAGGTAGGCCCACTCTTGGCACATTTCTAGCCTGCTATCTGGAAGATCTAGTAGGTATCTCATTGCTCTACGCCATGTGCCTTTGGTGCAGCCAAGTATGATCTGCATTGCTTCATTTTGTACCTTTTCCAATCTGTCGATTTGTGTGCTGCTAAGTGTGAGGATTGCCAGTGCATATTCTGTGACAGAGAGAATCAAACCCTGGTCGAGGATGACTAGCAAATGTTTTACACCACACATGGCAGCCGTAGCTCTCATTGCAGCCAAACCCTTTCTGGTCTTGTTGATCATAGTAACAGCTTGGAAAATGCAACTGATGGATGGAGCTAATGTAATGGAGAGTGAGCAGCAACTGTGAACTCCCCAATCTGTTTAAACTAATACCAATTAAAGGCACCATGAGACCAAAAAGACTGCAATGATTGAGGCACATAGAGATAATGGCAGATAACAAAAAATGTGTACACAAAATAATTGAATTGGAGTAGACATCAAGGCAAACTAAGAAAGAAGTGGACAGATAATGTACAAGCAGACTCACAAACACCTGGAGTTACTAACTAGAATTGTAACGCCATTCATAGAGATAAACAGAGTTGGGTTATGTTTGCAGAAATGTACCTAAAGGGCTCGGAAATGCTAAAAAGACAAAGAAGATGTATAAGATGTCACTGTATAAATGCGCAGTATTCAGCCATACATGAGTTGTTGCTTGGGACAGATTAAGCTCATTTCAGAGTAGAAATTAGTAAAGTAAAGGACCCTTCTCACTCCATTGATGTATCATGTTACATCCATGTTTTTTATAGCCTTGATTGTTGAATTGGTAAACATTCTACCAGCTGTTTTGATATCCTAGGGCACTAACCATGTGGATTCTGGGGTCCCATTGTGGGGAAAGCAAGAATAGATCCACTGCCTTCCCAACAAGCATGTCGTAGGAGCCAACTATTTGGGGACATCATTTTAAATTAGGGTTCTGCTGCCACAGAGGCAAGGAACCAACAGTCTGCAGGCAAAAAGGATATTTTTAAAAAAAATGTGCACACAACTCTTAGGTCTGAACAAGACTTATATCAGGAGGTAGATGAACACCCAGAACTTTCCACTGAAATTTGCAGCTGATAAGGGTGAAAAAGAAGATGGTGATATCCTAAGACTCATCCCGGTACTAATTTTCAGCTGTTTCAACTAAAGAGAATGAAACAATTTCTCTTGAATCAAGAGGTGAAGAAAAAATACTGGCACTGGATTAGACACAAGCAGAGAAAACCTGAAAACAATATAGATATAATGCCTTTACATTGGAAACCACTCAGGTAGAGAAATAAGGAAATTCCAAAACAAAAACACACACACACACAAAAGAGAGCTTGAGAGTGAAGATGACAAGATAGAGAAGATAGAGTTAACTTTTTCAGGGTGGCATTTTTTTTTCTGCATTTTAGAAAACAAAAATCTTTTGTTTCGCTAATTCTAGTTTGTCCGTAATGTTTATACAAATTCATTTTCCTAGCAAACAAAACAATACTACAGTGTCTACGCCAGGAGCCACTTAAATGGTGATATTTTTAATCTTGATTAATTTGGCTGGCACCTAAACAGCGATATGTCCAGAAGAAGTTGAGCAGCATGCATATAGCAGAGGATAGGATATTGTCTTGATTGATTGTGTGTGCTGATGAAAAAATAATAGAAGGAAGTACATTTTTATTCACCAGATTGTCAGTGAAGTTTTCCATTTATGATTTTACAGAAACCATTGGGGCTGATATCCAACGTCATAAAGGTATATTCACAGAGGGTGAAACTATACAGCTTCATTGCAAAGGCATTGGGTACCCAGTACCACAGATTGAATGGGTAAAAGAGGGTAATGTGTTGGAGTCTGATGGGAAAGTATTGGTCAGCAATGGAGATCTTACAATCACCTCAGTGACTATTGAAGATGCAGGGATGTATAAATGCATTGCATCCAATGACAAAGGCGAGGCAGAAGATATAACAACAGTACAGATACACTTTCACAGTAAGAATGCTTTCAATAGATATATGTGTGTTATACAGTGTTTTGGTGCTTATCATTACATCATTATGAATGAATCAATAATTGATGTCATTACACTCAGGGGTTCTGGCATCTTCCTCAGTAGCCAGCACAGATGCTTTACTGATGATGTGAGTTCAAAATTTGAAGTTTGAACAACGGATCAACATCATGGCACATGGGTAGTAACACATAAGTGCTCCGTTATTCTTC